TTAGTTATTTGATTTATTACTACACAGCGGATTTTATGCATTTATGAAAAAATTGTGTCAGCGACGAAAATGAAGAATGTTTCCAATGTTCAAAATTATACAAAATATTAAAAGCTGAATTCCTATTACAATATGTACATAATAAAAGAACTGTAAATTTCGAATGCATTGTTTTAAACTGAAACCATGAATGTTTTATTTCGCACAAAAATCCCGCCGTTTACTAATTAGGAACATTTCGACAAACAATAAGCATTTGGAAGGGTGCGTCAATGAACCAATCATCGATGATTCCAGAGTAACAAGCATATCAACCCTAACTGTTGCGTTTCGTGAACGATTTAGCACCGACCCGGCGCGATGCGGCGCCGCGCAAGTTATTAACGACAATCGATCTAATTTTAATCTCATCTCTCGCCCACGCTGGCCGGCGTTCTTTACGGGGGAAACCGAGGCGTCTGGTCGCGCGACCTCGTAGGGTACACTGCTCCTGCTTAGCTTCTATTGGACCGTCGTCGACGGCTCCATCGGAAACTGTTCTCTCTACCCCTGCTCCGTCGCTCCCACCAGACGAATTTGGTGGGGGCGTTGTACGTGGAAAACGATGGAAGGGAAAGTTGGATAAAGTGGAGAAAGAACGTGTCGCACGCGTTAGAAAGAGATGCACAACGAACGCTAGAAGAGACGACGTGCACCGTGGCGAAGGGAGACAGTCTCTGCTCTTGGGGAAGAGAGATAGTAACTATTGGGGAACTGCGGTGTAACGAGGATAGGGTGAAGTATTACAAGAAAGGGGAAGCTTGGTACCAGTGATGGGTTTAAGAGTCGTCCTCATGTTATCCGATTCATTTTGAATATGTTTTTACAGAAAGAAATAGTTGATAGTTGTTGGAAATAGGCCAAAGAAATAATACCTTAATTTAATACTTCGAAATTAAACTTTATTCTTTAATTTTAAACTACAAGCTTAAAAAAATACAAGTCAATTGGTATAGACGTTTTGATCACTACGTTTCCAGATGCATCTCACTTGTATAAACATCTTAATGTATACAGAAGGATTGAACAGTATTTAACTGAGGTTTCTAGAACTACAATAGATAATATGTGTCTCTATTTATTGAATAATAGCAGAGTTTCGTTTAACAAGACACGTGCAGAGTTTATTTTATCTAATGGTGACTCAAGTGATTCCGGACCAACCTCGTACGCACACATAGAGAATATGTAGGTTCAAGTAGAGGCGAAGTGTGGAAAGCATGAAAGATAGAGCGAGAGAAAACATGCTACATTTCTATGTATGCGTGCGAGGTGGGTCCGGAATCCCTTGAGACGTACGTTGAAATCGCGAAACAATAATCATTCCCAGCATAACTCAATCGAACCACCATAAGTCTGTGAATTTATAGAATGAGCATATTTAAATAGATGCACATTGACGCGGTGGAGGGGTTCGCGTGAGTACGACGAAGGCGGACGATCCATAAACTCGGAGCGACTGCGAACGTGATAAGAAAGAGCGAGATAGAGTTATATAGGCGTGTGGCGGGAGCGCGAGATGGTGGGGGATAAAGAGGAGCGAGCGCGCAGCAGGAAAGCCGCCGGACGCCATACTGCTTTCGTCTGTTCGGCACAGTACGCGCCCAGCGCCTACGCGGATCGTCGAGGTGCTCGTCGTCGTCGTTTCGCCCGGTGGTGTTTTCAGTTCGCTCTTTTTTTTTTCGTTGTACGCATATATTCGATAACCGTGCGTGTTCGCGGACGCGACGTGAGACGCCGGTCGAACCAAGGAAGAGCGGAGAGAAAAAAGAGACGTCGTCTCGGTTCGACTACAGCCGCCGCCGCCGCTGCCGTCGCTGTTCTTTTCTCGACCGGCTCGAGCGTGCGTCTTTCTCGTCGGTGCGAACACAGTGGTGCAAGAGCCAAGAAGCACATCGGGATTTTACGCGAGGACCGGCGGTGTAGCACGTCTCTTGTTGTATCTGGCTCCCAGGGCTGTCGTCGGCTCTACGCGACTTGCCAGGTGAGTGGACGAAAAATACCGCGCGTGTAAGGTTAGGCGATGTGTCGAGGTCGTCGGTCGCGGAAAACGCGAACCGACGACGCCGCGAACAGACAGATTTCCGTATATAACCAGGCCGAAGGTGTATGCGGCCTGTGATACCGGTTACGGTTACGCACGCTTTTACTTTCGATCGAGGCCGCCTCGGCCTCGAAACTCGTCCGCACTTTCGGAACAGCTGCTCTCGGTTGCTCCGGACCGCAGTCCGAATGAAGAACAACCCTGTAGTACAAAGATCTCGCGATGTACGGCACTCGATCAACTAGAATTTCCAATCAAAATATGTACGACGTTTTAAGAGAAAAGTCTCAAGCGAATTTTCGTTATTGGTGATGAATCTTTCGTTTGATGACTTTTTGGATAACTTCATTCTTTGTGTTCGAACGTACGGCTGGGGACAATGATTCTCGATCCCGTTAGTTTCCCCGATGGGGGCAAGATTTAAAATTAGTACTAAATTGATCTATATAAAGAATCTATGTAAATGGATTACATTCCTCAAAATATTTTGAAGAAAATATAATTCTTCGTAAAAATTCGCAGTCTAACAATAAATGTTCATATAAAATTTGCATTTCTTTTATCCTTGTTTTTTTAATAAGGATTGTAAACGCCAGAGTAGTGAAAAATGAGAAAAATTTCCGGATTTTATCTGCTTAGGAGAAACTAAAAAAATAAAAAAACTGGTCGAGATTCATTGTCCGAGCTGTACAATTTGTAATTGGAGCGGTAATTGTAATTGGATTACGTATAAAATTCTACGTTCGTCGTCAATTAAACCGTTGTTAAAACCGGAGCGGAGAACTGTGGGAATTTCGGAGTCAATAAACTCTCTCGTCAACGGGCAATTATAGATACTCCTGTTCCCAATAAACAGGAGACTATCGGAGTTCTCGAATTGTTTAAAATCGTTCCGAATATCGCATCGTCGTAAATCGTAGATAAGGTAACAAGGGAATCCCTTCGAATCTACGACTGCTCTGATTGATTCGTGCCCGTCGATGGGTAGGGCACCAACCCGGTAGAATGACCGCTGTTTATCATTTCGAATGGACACGTTTCCGCTATATTTCACGTGGCAACAACAAAACAAACGCACGCCACACCTTGCGTTCCTTAACATTAAACCTACCGACAATTTTTCTACATAAATATATTTATAGTTTGAGTAATTTAGTGCATGCAAATATCAGTTTGGTAGCACGTTAAATAATAATTACAAATTCTACAATACGACAATTTTCCTTTCATTTTATTTCTTATTGAAAATCGTAGAACTCGTCACTTGATTAATGCATCGCAGGTTGTGTTAATAACGGAGCTAACAAATCAATCGAAACTACTGGTTTTTAATGGAGGAATGTATGTACATAAAAAGAAGTAGTTTCTAGTGTCAATTCCTTCGTACGTGACTTTCCAAGAAATATTCATTCAAGCACAAAGCCCCCGGTATTTTCGAAGGTTGTTCATACTACGAGGCCATTCACTGTAAACCGGTACTTCAGCTATATTTAGACTGAATTCGTAGATCGGATAAAAAATGTTAATTAATTCCGAAGTAAATATAGACGAACTTTTCAATGAAGATAAAAATTCTGAACGCTGTTCAGTTTGGAAATAAACCAAATTTGTTCGTTTGATATTTCCGTTAGAATGCAACTGGATACTTTACCTTGCAATAGATTCACAGGTTTGTACGTGACGCGACCCTCGCCCTTTTCCACAATTCGCCCGCCCGCAACTTCCTGTTTACTTGGCACGGGTTTTTCTCTCGCGACACGCTGCCGCATCGATTTCGTTTTCACCGAAAGTGAAATCCTCCAGAGCTTCATATTTGCAAATCTCTTACAGTCCTTTTCAGCTTTTGTCGAGCGTTTATTTTCTCTGCGTATATCAAAGATACTTTGAACCGAAAGGTGCGGAGCCAGGCAGGCACGCCTAATTGAATTATTAAATTGTTCTAAGCTCCTGTGGGTAAATGCGCGGTCATAATGGGCTCTGAACGACTCATAGAATTCCTTTGAGCACCCACGTTCGTTTCTTCTTTCCTCCCTCCCCGCTGTTTGTATATGTATTTACCCTCCGGTGACGTTTATTGTGGATCACACGGCCCGCGGTGCGTTAATCGTTTTCGAAAACTGACCGGGCGACGAGTACACAGAAGAACGGTCGGGAAGCATGAAAAGCCAAGCTGTTCTATTCTTCCTCGTACATGTATACCTAGCCGCCGGTAGCAGATGTTCCTTGCGGCAAGAAGAACAGAAGACACGCGGTCCTTCGTCCCCGTGAAGTCTTCGCAACAACGGGTTCCGTCCCGTGCACGAAACCTAACATAAATTCCTAACTTCTGCCCGTGCATTATGCATGCATTACGATGTATGAAATATTCCCATAAACTGGCGTTTCGGGTCTGTACCGAGACGAATCCAGAGTCCAGACTTTCTATCCCTCTTGATAAATGCCAAACGATTTTATCATGCCGCAGTTTTTTATATTAATAGAGAAGTGCCATTCAAGCCGTATCCAGTGAATTTTATCGTTCTGCTGTTTTATATATTAGTAGAGAGGAATAAATGTTCGTAGACTAACAATCAAATTGTATATGATTTGTAAGATCTACAGTGACTCCATTAATTTTCATTTGAAAATATAACTAG